ATGTTATTCTTTCATGATTAACAGGTTGTATTGTCTTTGAAGACTTAGACATAATTGTGCAGTCCCCTTTTTTGAATATAATACATGGTTAAGATATTGAAAAACTCAAAATTGTAGCCTTCGAGCTGAAGAATATATCATTTCTTACAAATTTGATGTCAGGAATTAACATAATGGGTATCCGGGTAGGGTAGGGTAATAGGGGGTGGGGTACCCAGGTAGAACATTTGGACTTGTCTTAGTCCGACTGAACACATTTCCTCACATCTGCAATATGTCTGTATGTGTATGTCTACAGGAGTGAGTTCACCAAATTCAGTCCTTGATAATGTGAACAATGATTCAGCCCTTGATAATGTGAACAATGATTCAGCCGTCAACAAACCACAAACATGTCGTCAACCAAATCATTTAGCCTGATCACCCAATCCATCAAGTCACTTACGACCAGTATAAATTGCTGGAGACTTAATTTTAACCTTGGTGACCTTAGCTGACAACATATCTACTACAGAATACAAGGACATAATAGATACAGAGAGTGTCTTAAATATTATATATGCAAACAGATTTGCAAGATTGCTTTCATTATTTCCGGTGCACAGATACGGCTTGTATACAAGTCTGGAGTAGACATTATCAGACATATGTCAGTATGTACATAGCAAATGTCCCAATATGTTATCACTTTTTTATTTCTGAATGTCCATAGAAATATGAATAATTTTCACTGAAATGTTTTTACAAAGGCAGTGTGTCTTGCTACTGTAAACAATAGAGATAATATTACTGAAACAATGTTAAACATTTGTTATGCAAATGTAAACTGAATTCTTTAGAATTTCTTTCACTTAAATATTCATTGATTATTTGATATGTAAAATGTAACATACTTCAAATCAAGAGTATACATAGGAGAAGGTACATGGAGTGTAACTGGAGGTAGAGGTGGACGTGGATGTGGAAGTTTAAGATCTTGTGTGATCTATTCTAGTAAAATACTCAGCAGTTCAGTACAACAGATTAGTTAATTATCCCATAAAAGTTTAGGACTTCCATAGTTCTTTATTTAGATGAATTCACAGGCATTATTGTCTTATCATCAAAACTAAAAGCCAATTTCATTTTATTTGCTTGTACATCAATGCTTGGAAGTGATTTCCCCTGATTACTTGTCTTTGTGTTACTCATGACGTGTAAGATGGAGAAGTAATGAAAACTGACACAGAATGTAATTCAAAGTTTTCGATAAGTTTGGTAACTGACATTGACATCGATTTTGTGAACATAAGTTTGTTGTAGACTGTTTAATCAAGTTCACTGTACCAGACACTGTACTATAGCTGCATGCAGTGGGGTAATAAACCTGAGCTGTCTCTCGGTACAGATCGTTGCTGCACAGTGCTACTATGTCAATCATCCTCCATTAGATTTTCATTAATGGCAGGGGGCAGGGTGTACAAATTGTCTGATGTTAAAAGGTTGCTCACTTCACAGTGATCAGTAGTTTCTCTTAACACAGACAGGATCTGCTGTTCATGTACAGCACAGATTATGATACTAGGTTTTGCAAGAAAATGACCAGGTTTCAGCAAAGCAGAAAACATCCATGCCACAAGTCCCTAGAGGTGATTCCTCAAAATTCAGCCAAGAGGCATAATAAGTTATAGACTATTGGTACTACTCAATTAAATTTGCTGATATTAAAGAATTAGAAAATAGTGCACAGTTTTCACTTGTATAGACCTATTTTCTAACTTCATAACCTATCATGAGGTTGAACTTAAACTGAGTGCAGGAAGGTGGTATGAAGGAAAAGGTAGAACCCTCAGCTGGGATTCAGAAGGTTGTAACAAGGATAGCGTGAACCAAGGGTGTGTGGGTGTCTTGGTGTGTACATGTGTGTGCATGTATGAAGCGAGGCCCTGCTTTTATTAGTTTGAAACTATGCTGTTTCATACTTCCAGCCACACAACCCTATAAACACTGACTGACTGACTGAGTTTGGTTTGGCGCCACTTTTAGCAATATTCCAGCAACATCACGCGGGGACACCAGAAATGGGCTTCACACATAGTACCCATGTGGGGATTCGAACCGGTCTTGAGCCAACAGCGCTTTAACCATTACGCTACCCCACCGCCCCACCCTATAAACAGTTTAACATGACACATTATAATGTCTCTGAGCAGGGCAGCCCTTGTGTTATGCAGGTTAACAGGAATGGCCGTCTTTTAAAGTCTTTTGGCATGACAAGTCAAGGGGACAAACCACCGACCTTCAGCTCTCCAGGCAAACGCTGTATTCAATGCACAAGCTGAGCACATGATGAGGGGAGTGTTTACAGGATAATGAAGACATCAAGTTCCTCCACAGATATTTGTTTCCAGAGGTTTAGTTACAACTCAAACAAAATACAAGCCTAAATCTAAAATCAATAATCTGTTATGGAATGTTGAGTTCTTTTTGATGAGATGATCAGCTAATCTGCTGTTAATATGAAATATCATTTTCTTCTCAATTGCAGTGTCAAAATCAGTGAATCTCAGACAAAAATCACCAAAAGAAATGAGTCAGCAATGATGAGGAAAAAGCATGATTGATCGTTGCTAAGTCGAGGTTTAAAGGCAAGTTCTCTAGAACTAGATATTTGCGGAAATGAACTATATGCCACATGATCCTGAACAGAACTAGATCTGAGATAACCTACATCTAATGCTGCAGAACCAGTTTCAGGCAATCTCTACAGCCTCCAAAATTCTAAAATGCTAAACTGAGACAAGTGAAAATCCAAACATATTAGTCACTGACACAAGGATAATAATTCTGGGCCAATTCTCATTGCCTCAGTTTTGCTACAAATGGGAACTTGATGAAAAACTGACAGAAAAAGAACATCTGCATATATTTCTCCTGATTATGGCAGTATTTATTTGGCTATCATAATATACATGTCCTCAAATGGCTGTAGTGCTTTAACAGCTGTAACCATACACTACTCCAGAATCATACATGTACCCAAAGCCTTAGTCATTGATCAGTTTTCAGGAATAGGCCATTGGACTAAAACCTTATTTCATTAGTCCACAGAGTTTGTCCTACTTTAAACAAAGTAAACATGTTTTCTTGGGTAACATTTTTTGGTATTCTTAATCAGTATCGGTTTGCAGCTATTTTATTCCATGTTAAAGTGTGATAATAAAACCACATATACAGAATCATCTGCCATTGTGTTGAAATTCTAGCATTTTGTGTTTTTGTGTGTATAAAAGGGGCTGGCTATTGCCTCCCATCTCATGTTACATCTCAAGATAGAAGAAAACCTCCATTGTGTGTGATGATGCCCTGCCAGGCCGAGTTGCAAGCTGGATTGCTGTGACTGAAAGGTGAATCTTACTATCACTGTCTATATATCTTATGTTATATTACATTTAACTTTCTACTGCCATTCTCAGTGTTCACAAATTGTGTTTCAAAGTAACAGGACATTGGGTCCTGTAAGTTTCAGATGTCTGTCTGACCCATTGAAAATTCACAGGACCCATAGAATAAAATTAAACACACATTTCAGATTTAACATTTCTTATAATTGGCATTGAAATTATAAACAAACATAAGATTTATAAACAGCAAACAAGTGACACATGTCACATATAACAACTTCAGTCAAAATTCATTGTGATATAAACAGTCAGACACTGGGGCTGGCGGTTTGTAGACTACTGTCAGACCGTTCGCAAATCTGCCAGATTTGTCAGAGGGTCAGATGCTATTCGTGAACACTGATTCTATTTTGTACTGTCTTAGTGATATCTGTGTATTGATTTGTATTGATTTGTGAATTCAGTTAATTTTAGAAAACAGCTGTCAATTACATTACATCTGTTTGTTGGTTTCACACCTAGTTGTTTTATGGATTGATTCCTGGTTAACTTATTAGTTTCAACTTGGGAATCCCCATGTATCAAATAGTGATATAAATACTTATAAGAAATGACTTTCACTGTGTATTGCCTGACCCAACATTCAGTTTGACCCTTACTCTACGAAAGTTCATATTCCAGTCAACTCACAGAAAGTGAAGGTCAGTTGTTAAATGCAGATCATTTTGTATTGTATACATCATCATAGGCATAACGTTGTATACTGTAAATCATTAAACTAATGTGTCACCACAAAACAGTATAATACAGGCTTCCACCATAAATTTCAAAAAATGTTCCAATCCGGAAAATGTATACTGTAAATACACGTGAAATGCTTTTTCTGTTATATTTCACTAATTAAAAAAAAAAAAAAAAAAAAATAAAATGTGTCACCACAAATTTATTGTGTGCATCAACCCAAAGCCTGAGATATGTCATGAAATTAAAGCGAGTGGCCCTTTCTTAAAAGCTAAACATTAAATGATAGCATAAAAGACTGAAGACTGTCAAGGACTGAGCGATATCATTTTGATTCAATGATACCATTTGCTATCTTCATAGAAAAACTTAAGTCGCTTGACATGTCATTTAAACTCCATGAAATCAAAAGCAGGAAATTAAAAAATTCATGAAAATGGTACCTTACTTCTCATTAACACTAAACAAATTAATACTAATAAGGCCACGTGTATGACACTGAACTCTACGCCCCACGGACATGCTCTAAGTGCACACAACATAATGGCCATTGTTACCCTGGTTAACCCAAGCAGCCGGTGCAAAAAGGTTATTAGTCATATGACTTATCCCACCAGGTACCCATTCACTGCTGGGTGAACAGAAGCAATTTTGAACAAACTGACTTGCCAAAGGTGAGACCACATGTATATATCCATCATGTGTAGGTACACACATCCAGTCTAGGCCTAGATTTTCGAAGCTCTCTTAGATAGTCGTAAGGTAATGTTAAAGTATGGCACTTACGGCTATCTTAGCACTAAGAGGGCTTCGAAATTCTAGGCCCTGGTTGTTATCACTGTGTATGTAGCAGGTGATTTAAAAAACACTTCTTACCTAACATCAGTGTTTTTCAGATCTGTTGATGCGTCCTCATCTGGAAAAACAAAGAAAATGCTTTACTTTAAACTGCATTAGACAATATTACAGCTGTATAGTGTATCTAATTTATCTTATGTCTTCCTTTGTATTTGCATAACCAAACTGATGAATTCTATGTGAAAAATTGACTCCAAATGTGCATTTGCCAAGATTCCAGTGCCCTGCATGATATCTGATGCTCACATGGCCGGAGCAGTGGTTTTCAGACAGATTAAAATCTCACAAACAGACTATTTTTGTCTCCAGCTCCACATCACACAGCTATCTAATGACATGGACTTCTCGGTCAGGCACCATCCAGATCCTATCCCAAGATTACCCATGTTTGGTGAAGGACCTCACTTTCAAGTTAGATACTTCCCGCCTTAGGTGAGCGTAATCTACATAGTCCCTGACCAATTCACGATTGGCTATTTCAGATCACGGTCTTGGACCCCATCAAAAGCTATCAGTGATCGTAATCATGTTTGACACTGACAAAGACATCTGTCACGTGTAAATATTTAAGGGAGGATGATGTGGGGAGGGGAATCTCCAGAGTGGAGGTCTGATAATGAGTTGTGCCAACCATGGAACACCCTGCAGCAGTCACAGGGGGTGTGAGTTATTGATCCTCACTAACCACATCTCATGTACGACCACTGTGAGACATGAAGGTTATTCCTCATTATCAACTTTGAAATACTGATGGTTGATGTTCCTTTTACATTTTTTCCATCTTGATATGCTTGTACCATTTTTTGCACCTATGATTTGTGTTTGATTGCCATGTCTGTTCATCTTGTTTGAGCTACAAGTGTGCATGGCTACATCTTGTATATATATCATCTTCAAAGTGATGGGAAGCCATCATGAAATTTCCCATGTGTAGAAGCTGTCATTAGCTGTTAACTATTCTGGTCATCAAGATAATAAGCAATCCCAAATTTTTAATTTTTTTTAAAGATATGAATATTTCAAACATTGCATGTCAGTTGTTTGAGACATCATTTCAAAGAAAACATTTAGTATATATTTCTGAAACTTACTGGTATTTCCAATAGAAGCGACAAAATGCTTTCCACATTCATAAGAAATCTCTGAAAAAGCAGAGTCGATTGTACAATTGTGACTATATCAAGAGCAGATATTTGTTTCTGCAGTATATGTACAGCTGTATGATGTTGTTTGTAAACAAATCGGGTCTAAGCCGGACAATTCAGTGATTGTCATCATGTGATACGATGACAGAGCATGTGTTTATGAATCACTATGAAGTAGTGATCAAACCAGGTGTTCCTGAAGAGGTGAGGGTGTCCTGCCTCACCGGTGGCATCCGTCATAAACATAATAATTATGCTAAGTCTAGCACCTTTTTGGGCTGCAAAATTGCTGATTCAGAAACAAGTACAACTGCCCGATATTATGTTGAAATTGTTTTTGTGTATCTGACATCAAGTCAACCATGACCCATGTTACCAAGATCTTGTATTCAGGCATAATTGTCAAAGAATATATTAAAATCTTGCAAAGACTAAAAAGAAATTATTGAAAGAGGTTAAATGTTAGGACTTTGTCATCAATATCTCTGAATAGCATGTAAATATTGAACAGTAACCAGGGTGCCGTTCCACTAACCGATCTTTTTTACAATCATCTTAGCTAAAAGTTATACTCGTTCCACTAACCGATCTTAGGCCGATCGTAGCCGGTCCCGATCTTACGATCCGATCCAAGCTTAGGTCGAAACTCGTGCGAGAGATAGAGGAATGCGAGGCACGAGTTATCTCCCTTTGCATAGTCTAGCAAATGATGGAAGTAGTTTACGAACCAACTGAGTGAGTGAGTGAGTGTAGATTTACGCCGCACTCAACAATAGTCAAGCTATATCGCAGCAGTCTGTAAATAATCTAGCTAAGATGCATAGCGTTCACTAACATGAGCGTTCATGTTAGTGAACACTATGTATCTTAGCTATAAATAATCGAGTCTGGACCAGACAATTCAGTGATCAACAGCATGAGCATCGATCTGCGCAGTTGGGAACCGATGACATGTGTCAACCAAGTCAGCAAGCCTGACCACCCGAATCCCGTTGGTGGCCTCTTACGACAAGCATGGGTTATTGAAGTTCAATATTCTAATCCGGGCCTTCATGGGTATTTTTCCAACCAAGTGTAAACGTGGAGAAAAAACCTAGAGCAAAATATTAGGGTAGTGAGCACCTTGGTTTCAGGTGCAAGTGTGTGTGAACGCTGGGTATCAGGCATAATATAATAATAATAAATGCATATTTATAGTGCGCCTATTCCACATCCTGGGGCATGCTCAAAGCTCTATGTACAGATAATTTACACGAGAGTATTTACAGCCGAGATTATAAGTTATATACTGAGAACAGGTTTTAAGTCTGGACTTAAAAAATGACAATTGTGTCAGAGCTTTTAATATGTGCCTGAACCTTGTCAATCAGAATAAACAAGGCGTGAGGAGGCATCCTCTATAACGTATGTAGAATCTGTCAGTGGTCTTGAATAACGCGCGGCCTGCCTTTAGAATCCCCCACCAAATAAGCCCACCTGAAATCAAACATATTTGTATCTTTTTGTTTCAGAACATGGTTCACTTCACATCTGTCCCTATTCTTAACCATGATGTTGCAATATTGTTGTACAAATGTGTTACACAGACTCACTCGGTTGTGTTCCCATGACGACAGTGGTCAGACTGGCCTGACATTTGTAAGGCTTCAGTGCACTGTTTGTTTACATCACAGAAATATACAAATTCATTTGATGGGGGATTTTAGGGGACGCTCACGGTGAAATGCTCGCTCTTATTTTTCAAATAGAATAGGAAAGCCACCATTTTGGTTTTTTCTACGATTGATTTTAGCTATCCTAAGTTGGTCATGAGCAACTTAGACTTTGAATCTTAACTTTACGATTGACTTGGGTAAGATTGGTTAGTGGAACGGTATGCCGATCGTAACGTCACGTTAAGATTGGGATTTTAGGGGTTTACGATTGACGTAGGGCTAAGATCGGTTAGTGGAACGGCACCCAGAACTTTATTTCCATTTATAACATAAGACAGAGTGAGTGAGATAAGAATGCACATCATTTCCATGACTTCTTAAGTTGAAAATACCAGAGTGAACAAGTTGTGAACATTTCAAGTACTATTTCAAAACTTTCAGACTGGTACCAATCAAATCAAGTGTATAACAGGAAACACTGGACCTGGAACATTCCCCAAGACTGCTTTAAACACAATTTCACAAGTAACCAAAAGGCCATTTAAGGGTGAAGTGGTTAAAAATTCATCGCCACATGAAAAGACGATTTGGGGGTATTCTGTAGGAAACCTGTTACATTCTCCAGCATTAGTCACCTGTGACTACAAAGTCCCTTCCCTTTGTAGAACTTTGATGTCAGTGATCTCATCCTGCCAGTAATCTCGTCACACATACAATAAAGGCATTGATGGTACTTAGGACGGTTCTCAGTCAGCACTGTACAAGATAATGAGACAAAGACTATGAATAAATACATAGCTAGACAAGACTTGTACCAGGGCCATGTTTGTCCACCTCTCCACAATGATGAAGGAATGGAACCGATGGAGCTTCGGTGAAGACATATGCAGATTGCTTTGGTGGGCTCACTGCGATAGTGACGAACCCTTTTATGTACATCTCTTTGTTATTCCAAGGACCAGTTTTAGGAAGTAATGAAATACAGGGGGACCTTAAGTGGCCAATTACAGTGTGACTCAGACATGTAAACTGGATAACCTCCCTATCAATTAGGTGTTACTGGAGGTCATAGCATCAAGCATTATCTAATTAAGCATCGCCAAAATGACTGCAATGTCTGTTTCTATTCAATTAGTACAACAGGCTAGTTCATAACATTCTGTCTAAAGTCGAATTCAGCTAAACCAATTCACATCATTTGAAAGATGTTGTCTTGTGAAGTTATAAAAACGCTGGCTGAAACTTCATTTCAACACCTAATGCGACTGAGCTCCCCAAAATACTTGTCTCCAGAGAGAAAATCAAGAAAAATGGCTTGATGACTGGAGGGTGTTTTTGAAAGGATACCATTGCTGAACACTGTTGATGGGGAATGGAGTCTTTCTATCATGAACCTTTCAAGGGTACTGAGTGACTAATGACTAATGATACTGATTTGAAGAAAACTACATGCCACTTTTAACCCATTAACTCCTATTCTGAAATAAATTGGAAACATTGAGTTGGAATAAAATGCTAATATGGAATTAGGAGTTTCATAGCACTAAGAAGAATTCTTATTAGGCTTTTGTGAAATGATATCCAATAAAGACACAAACACATTAATTTCCATAGATTTCTTCTACAGATTAATCTCATTGTAGCAAGATAGCCAACTGCCTTGATCTGAACAGCATGGGCCACTGAGCAATATTGTAATATGGCTGTCGGTGGCTGGCTCATTGGGACACAAGGTGTGCTCTGACATGGCACACAATCAGCCTTTAATCATCCTGCTTGGACGGATCAGCAGCTACCGTGATGTTCTGGGGCTAATTCACACATGTTGAACAAGCGTCAGATTTGTATTTTTTTTTCATTTCTTTAAATTGCTAACTGGAAGGACTAAAAGAACGAGTGCATATAGATTTAATTGACTTTTAGCAACATTTCATCAGTATCATGGCAGGGGACACCCAAAACGGGCTTTACACATTGTAGGACCAAAGTGAAATATCAGTGAGTGAAGAAACTATAAACATGATGTTGGATTAATCAAGATTAAAAACTTTTGACAGTGAGTGAAAGTTTCTTAAAACACTTCAGTCAGCTATATATTAACTATAACATGGTAACCTTAGGATAATTGAAGTCATTTAAAGCATGAACAATGTTACATGTTATGTGGGTATAGTGACACAGCCAAGTCACAGAATGTTACCGTCCGAGCCTATGTTAGTCCAAGAGACAAACGGTAGTGATTTTAGAACTAACATCTA